TCTGTATTGATGAATGGTACAAAATGAAGGATCAAGATTTGATTCGTATTGGTGTACTTGTCTAAGCATTACCTAGTGATGGAGCAAGGAGAGAGAAAAGTGCAGCTCAGCAGAAAATTGCCAGAGCTCCTAAACTCTTCTTTTCTCTTTCATTTCTTGACATCTATTGAGCTGCAGCAGCAAAGACAATATCCAGGACTGCAGAGATTAACTGCTGTGGTGGCACCACTAGTTTGTTTATCCAGCACTCTGCACTAGCAATAAATCCAGCTCAAAATCCAGCAGGAGACGGCCCAGAGCACCCTGCATAGCTGACCCTGCCTTGAGTAGTAGGCTGGGAGGAGGATCTCCAGAGGTCCCTTCCTCTGCTGATGAAAGCTGGTGGTCTTCCTGTTGCAGGCATGTCTGTGCAGGATATCCAGAGCCTTGTGGTGTTGTTGGCACCCAGGAGGTGGGACACGGGGTCAGCGGATTTCTGAGAAAACTTAGGGAGAGTCATCACTTTCATGGAGATAGAGGATGAATCAGTATGCCCAACTGCTCTGTGCACTGAAAGGCTATTTACGCTGCCCATCTCTGAGCATATGAGTTCAAGAAGCCTTTACCCTCTGTTGTCTGTGGAGGGAGATTAACCCAGGCAGAAGGTGACTCAGAGCATCCAAGCTGGTCTCCTGTTCTGAATCACCTCCTGGGACAGCTCTCCTGTGATTAAGGAGGCAGCTGAAGAAGCAACTTCCCTAAGTGTTGTGCTGAAAAGATGTCTATGCATCTTCCTTTTTAAGGCTGCAGATAACAGATGAGTGTTTTCAAACCAGCACAGGAGAAGATCATTGGTCAAATTTCTGAACGTAACCTGAGGACAAAAAGTGGGCTGAATGGGTTGCAAGTGAATACAGAATTTCATTTTCACGCTTCTGTGACAGGCAGATTAACCATCTCCAGCAGGAAGTCTTTGGCGTTAGCAGAGTGGAGAGGACTCGTCTTAATTGGTGAGATATTTGTATTTTTTGAGAGAGAGGGAGTGGGAGATGCAGCACTGAATGCCATGGTTAGTGGGCACGATGGTGATGGGTTGGACAAGATGATTTTTGTGGGCTTTTCCAACCTTAATGATTCTGTGATTCTAGGGGGCTCAAAGCAATTTATTAAACTGAATTACTGTGAATACACAACCTTTCTACACATTCATTTCAGGTTAGCAATCTGTAAAAATACTCACTCTGCTGAATATCCAAAAGTGCAATAAAATAACATTTTAAGGAGGAGATTTTAAGCCAAAATATTCCTCATGGTTTTATCACAGGGTATCAAATGAGAAGTGACAATTACATGTGACCAGGGGGGCAGAACTGCATTCACCAATGGATGACAGTTTCCATGGGCTGTATTTCTGCCATGCAATTTTAGGCAATGGCCTTTAGTGAAGCTTTCATGCAAGGCGGGAGGTTTGAAGACCCAGATTCAGCAATGATTTTATGGCAAGTACATTCTTTTTCCATTGGCCTCAGAGGTCTGAAACCGTAGCAGCCTTCATTTTTTCCACTGACAGATGTTAGATGAGGAGTGGGTGCTAGGAAGGCTGGTTACATACCTTGTGCATGTGTGCTTGCTGGCTGCCAAACAGAGCAGAGAGCAGCCAAATCCTCCCTGCCTCTTGTTTGGGGGGGCTCAGAGAAGTTTCTTCACTCTGTCCTGTTGGTGATTGAAAAAAGAAGAAAGAGAAGGCATTACTGACCCTGATTTCTCCTACTCTGACAGTTTAGCCAAAAGATTCCAAAGCTGCTGAAGGAAAAGAGGAAGAAAGGAAGTAGGACAGTATGATAATATAAACTTTGTTTCTTGAGGAAACTAGGATAAAAAAAAAAAAATCCTAGGCCTCTTAGTAACAGAATAAACCTTGGGAACATGACTTAATTCTACACCGTGGGCTCCGAAACTAAGAGGAATGAATCCCATGTGTGCTGATTATTTTTAAAACACTTGCAAGCTCCAGTTCAGCTTTATGATTATTTGGTGACTTGCTCCAGTTCAGCTTTATGATTATTTGGTGACTTGCTCCTGCCTGGAGTGGAAAGTTTGACACTGAGCTCCCACAGATATATGGCCTATTAGAGGTCCCTCAGGTGATCGTAATGCAGAAACTAGGAGTAAGTTACCTCTGCTGTGGGTCTTCAGCACTTCTAGGGACTTCTTCAGCTGTTCCCATGAATAATATTTCCTCAGGACCCCACCAATATGAGCCGTGCTTGAGTGAGCACGTCCAGGAGCAATTCTCCAGAATTCACTGTTACACCTGCTATGTATGTAAAAATTGTCAGAAACTTCTGGATGAAAAAAGGATTCCTCAACACCACAAAATAGGTGAGCATAATAGCCAGCAGCAGAATGCAGCACAGGACCACTTCTACTCTGCCTCTGGGTGCCCCCCACACTGGATGATGCACTGCATGCAGTTTTTATGAGAGACACACTGAAAAGGGTGATGCCAAGGAACTTGCTGCCTTCTACAAATCTGAGTCTTTGTGAACAGAGGTTTATAATCATGGACTGTATGGAGCAAGCTGAAGCTGTATTCTTATTACCTTTCTTTTAAGCTTATTGCTGAGAACTTTCTAAGCTTTCTTCTCTAGAGATCTACAGATTCTTATTCTCATAATAGGTGCAGCCTGGGGGATGACACCAGCAGCGCAAGAATCCTCCTGGGAATAATTACGCTTCTTTTCTCCTTCTCTTTGTCTGCTGTATCTATTTGGCAGCGCTTCTGCGAGAACTGTGTGCATACATAACTTTAATCCCATTCAGCAGAGGGAGTCAGATGCTAGAATCTCGGCATGCACAGCAGCCCCTCAGGACCCAGAGCTGTGTCTGCATGTTGGTGTGCAAGCACTCAGCTCTCAGCTGTATGCTAGGCTGGGACGGGTCTATGAGGGTGTCCCGCTCTCAGCTGGGCTCTGCTGCAGTGAGAAAAGCACAGCAGCAGCAATGGTAAAATAATTAACAAAGTCACTGTGCTCTTTGGCACTGCCTGGTGGGTTATCATGGTGAGGCACTGGAACAGGTTGCCTGGAGAAGTTGTGGTCTCAAGGCCAGATTGGATGAGGCCACAGGCTGATTCTAGGTAGGCTATACCTCTGCCTATGGCAGGGGGCTGGGGCAGGGGCTGGGTGGGATGCAGGATCCCTTCCAACCCAAACCATCCTCTGATTCTATGGTCCTTCTCTATGTCTGTACGGTCCAGGGACTCTTTGGCAAACATCATCTGCTATTTGTGAGACATTTGTTTCCATTTTGTGAGGCATTTTCCTCTCCTGTGTCCATGGAGAGCTGGTGCTGTAGTGCTGCTTTGGTTGCCACCTGCTTTCTAGGGAGGAAAGGGGAGCTGACCTGAGCAGTGAAGGTAACTTGGCACACCAAGGCACGTACACCTCCAAAACCTGAGATGTCTGTTCAGAAACAGGATGTCATACAAACTGGTGATGCAAATTCACCTTTGCTCCTTAACTATACCAACAACCTGCCCCAAGCCAGAAGCATGGCTGCAGCTGAGTGCCCAGGCCTGCAACGAGATCCTTCCCACACAGTGGCCATCTTGTGTGCTGTATCCCAAGCAGCGGGGCGTAGAGCAGGGGGAGCACTGACAGCTCTTGAGCCACCCTGCCAGCCTCTTATGGGGAAATGAAAGCCAAATGTGTGTGCTGAGACGATGGCTGTGGTATGAATCAGTGATGAGAAGTTAGAGATGCTAATGACTGGTACTTTGGGGGCAGGCCTGATGGGGGAATTGGGCCTGCGTGGCTTCTCCAGCTTTCTTTCAATTATTTGATGAGAACATTTTGATCTAAGAAAGACTGCAGGATCTGAAAATCTGTTCTGAATGCTCATCCTGAGAGTGGTAACTGAGTTTTGAGTATTTATGGCAGCACCTGGAGCCATAACTGTGTGTGTGCTATAGATGCTAAGACGTGGTAGCTCAGTTTGAAACTCAGTTTGGCCATTAGCTCCATGTAGGGGAGAGCAGGGAGAAGGAAGGGGAGGATGCTCAGCTTTTGTGAAACCTGCTTATTTTGCTCATGATGGAGGTTTGCCTCCTCTACAGCCAGCATCTTCATGGAGCTGTCACACCAAGATGACCTGCAACTCTTCTCTCACACATTGGGCACCTGCTTGCCCCAGAACAATGCCATAACAAATGGAACGAGGTTTGTCGCTCCTCTCATCTGCTCTCCTGCTCCATGTGCGATGCCTGAAGGCACATACACTTCTTCCTACTGCTGATGGAGATAGGGTCGTTCTCTTTGCAGGCAGCAGCCCTGTGCTCTTTGGCAGACATAGGCCTTGATGTAGCCATCAAAATGGAGGCCTCGTTCCCTACAGCGCTGGGCGCACACCTATAGCAAGGTGCAGCAGTGGCGCAGGCTCAAGCCCGGAGCTGGGACCGCAGGTCTCCGAGGCCAAAGTTTTGCGTCGGATCGCCCGCCCCGTACGGGCTTCGGCAGCCCCGGAGGGCGCAGAGCCCCGCGTTGAGGTGCCGCCGCCGTGCCCCGAGGCAGGACGTCAAACCGCAGAGCCGTCCCGATCCCCCCCGGCGGGGCCGGACAGCCACCCCTCGGGCCGAGCTGCCGCGGGGGGCACGCCGCCCCCTCGGGCCGCTCCCCGGGCGGGGGCCGCACGCATGCCGAGGCGGCTCCGTCGCTCCCCGCCGCCCGAGCCCCGCCTCGGCCCCGCAGCCGGCGGGGCGGGGGACGGGGGGCGGCGCTGGCTGCCGGGGCGAGGGCGCCGGCTGCGGCGGGCGCGGGGCGGTCGGCGGCGGGGACGGCCGTCGGCAAGGTCAGCGGGCGGCAGGGAGCGGAGCGCGAGGCGCGACGGATGCCGCGGTGCCGCCGCAGGGGGTGAGGCGGCGGACGGCGGTGGGGGGGGGGCGGCCGGGGCGGGGTGGGCGCGTCGCCCCCGCCACACCTCCCGCCCGCCGCTCCTCCGCCCCGGCCGGAGCCAGCCGCGCGTTTCGTAAGCGGCCGCCGCGCCCGGCTTCGCCGGCGGCAGGACGGAGCGGCGCGGCCTCCCGGTGCGAGCCGCGGGCTGCGAGCAGGGAGGCGGCGGTGCAGGTAATGGCCGGGCGCGGGGGCGGCGGGGCGCGAAGGTTACTTAGAGAGCTGCCCGGCAGCGCCCGCCGCATCGGCGGGGTGGGCTCGTCCTTGCGCCTCGCTAGCGGGTAAAGCCGGGTCACCTGCGGACTTTCTGGTTATCCGCGCTGTAATCTACGTGGAGTCTATGGCTTTTTTCTTTCTTTCTTTCTTTCCTTTTTTTTTTCTTTCTTTCTTTCTTTTTTTTTTTTTTCCTTCCCCTTTCCTTCCCATGCTGGCAGTTAGCGGAGCGGATAGGCGCTCGCTCGGGAGCTGTCGCTTAGCGCAGGGTCCGCGCGCAGCCCGGCCCCGCAGAGCGGCGCGGAGTTCGGTGCGGGCGGAGATGCCGCCTCCCGGCTCCGGTCGCGGCGCGGATCTCCCGAGCGGCTCCCCGAGCCCTGCAGCCATCGGCGGGCTCAGTTCCGACATGCCGGCTCGGGCTGGAGAGACTTTCTTGGGAAGCTTCTGAAGCGTGGGTATGCCTCAGGTCGTCAGGCGGGGAGGCACCAGGGCGTGTGTTTCTGTCACATAGGTGTATGTGTTAGGAAAATAAAAGGAGAGCAAAGCAAACGAGCTTCTGATAAGGTCCTATTAATGCAGCTATAAACACTGTAATTTCTCCGTTCTCGTTTTCTCATTGAAACTCTTCTTCTCGCAGATACGGTCCATGTTTTTTTTTTTTTTTTTTTTTTTTTTAATACTATCTTTCAGAGATTATTTAATACAGATTGGCTCAGGTTTTGGATCTGCCTGAGGCTGCCGGAAAATATATGTAACCTTCTGACTTGCAGTGTCACCAAGGTGTTGCTGGTAGCCTCCTGCATCCAGGCAGAGGTCACAGCCCTTCTGAAACGCCCGCTGCGTCTGAGCTAGCACAGAACTCGCAGCATGATGATAATCAGATTCAGAAACAAAGCCTTCTGCTGGAAACGCTGTTCTTGGCTATGTAACGGGATTGGGTTTGAGCTTCTGGTTAACTGCACGAGGGGTGAAATGTAGCATTAACTGTGGCGTATGGGGTCAGGATGACTCGGGGCCATTGCTGTCGGGGACACTGATGTATCACCAGGACAGATAATTCCTTGTGTGCACATGCTTCTGTTGGTGACGTGGCCCAAAAGCTCACATCTCTGCTTTATGTCTGATGTGTCTATTGGAGGTTTTGCACAGCTTGCCAGGTATGTGGAGACAAATGGAAAAGGTGTTTGCTGTTCCTTGACTTGGGGGGAGAGAAGTTGTTAGGGCAACACCTGGTCCAAGTTTTATACGTGTTGCAAAGTCTTCTTGGAAGCAGTGGCCGGTGATGCTGAACATCCAGATTAGAAATGCCAGCGGGACAATCAATGTTATTTCTGCCTTAATATGATGTGTTTAAATTATACATGCAAATGAAGTAGCTTGGAAGAAGCCACGCATCCAGATAGGCTCCAGCATAGCAGAGCGTGCAGGGAGCTGGCAGGTAGAGGCTTCTGGGCACCGCTCCCCATTCGACTCGGTGGGTCTCTAGCTCTGCCAGAATCCCTCTATGTGTTTTTCCAGTGCCTCTTTCTGGCTCTGTTCAGGGTTCTTGCATTGACCCCTTGATGGAGTGGAGTGGGAGTTCCATCAATCACAGCCCTATGGGGGCTTCAGCACAGTTTTAACTCATCATATTCATCGTCCTGGTGAAATTGAAGAGTGATATGCTCAAGCAAGCTTGTATGCAGGGATGTTAAGCTAAGGGCTGCCTTCCATAAGCTTTCCAGGGTGTGAACTGTGCATCTTTTGTACTTGCATTGTGCTTGGAACAGATGCCATGTCATTGCTGGGTTTGGAATGGAGGACCTGACCTCACTTGGGATGAATGCATATAAGGAAGGAGCAGTGCTGCTTCTCTAGAGTTCTGTGGAGGATTTCAAGCAGAATTAAGTTTTCTAAGTCACTGAAATATTTTTCGAACCATGACCCCAATCAGCAGATCGTGCCTGGAGGATACATCTCTACAGTGATTCATGTGATATAGGTGATCAGTTGGTGTGACTCTACCAAAGACCCAGTGATTTGTATTTCTGCATGCAGCATTGACTTTAGGGTCTAGCCAAGGGCTCTGGCCTTTTATTCGTTTTATATACTGTATATCTGTATTTACATGTCAGGCAGCCCTACAGCCTTTCCTTGCATCAAGCAGCAGTTATTTGAGCAAGTAATTTCTCTGGCTTGAGCGTGGCTGTTCAGCTGAGTAAATGATGTACACTCTGAATAAAAGATGGTAGATATGGGGCATGAGTGCTCTGTGCTTTAGTGGAGAATGTGGACAATGCATTCCCAAAGCCTGAGATTCTGGCATGCCTTAAATTCTGTCCTGTTCTTAGGCTTTGCCTCTGTCTGGTGAGTGGGCTGGAGGGTGGATTTGCCGCTCATTCAGAGCATGCAGAGCTTCTGAAGAAATTCCGCAGCTGTTTTGGGTCAGCCCAGAGTTGCCTGCTTGCTGTGCTGGTGCTGTTTTCTCCACAAATAGCTTTGCTGTTTCTGGGCCCTGCAAAGGAAGGGAAGAGAGAAGCCAGCCCTCTGGAGCGACATGGGAGCTGCAAGAGGTGTCAAGGGCAGTCCTCCCAGCTTTCCGGAGTCTCCTGAGCTCGCGAGGCCTTTTCCCCCTCTCCAAGCAGCCGCTTTTCCACCCACAGCAGTATTACCCATCCTACAGGCACTGGCTTGGTGTGGCGTGGTGTGGCTTGGTGTAGGTCACCAGCATGGGGACCGTGATGTGTCTTGCTGCCCGATATGACTGTCCCAGGTGAGGACCTGAGGTCTGGGATGGGACTACCTCCCTGGCAGCGATCCCAATGAGTGAGGAGCCCCAGCAGCTACTTTAAGTCCCTCTTGGTAGGACTAGAGGCTGGATAGATGGGAAATCCTCAAAGCAGTGCTGTCTTTGGCAGGGGAGAGATGAGATTTGGCCACTTTCTGTTCTGCCCTTGTAGTGGTCAAACACAGGGTCCGTGCAAGCCTGGCCATGCCGTAGGGTGTGCATGGTCCCCATGGCAGGGGTTGGTGTGAAGTAGTGCAGTAGGAGGGCGGGAGGGCAGAGGACATGTACCTCAAGCAGGCAGGGCCTGCAAATTGCATTTCCTCTCAGCATGGCTGCCCTTTGGTTCATAAAGTAGGAGCTGCTTGAGACCTGGGAGGGACAGAAGGCTGGTGGCCACAGATAGGAGCCTGCTGTGTGACCTCCAGGGCTCCTTGAAACTGAGTGAAATGAGCAGGGAGGACTTTGGCAGGGGTGTGCAATAGCATTGCAATTATCTGGGTGCTTGCAGGCGTCACCTCTGTTGAGCTCAGTGGTGATTCGACTGTCCTGAAGACAACACTCCGTGCCATGTGTTTCTCCCAGAATAGCTTCAGTGAATGAAGCTTAATTCCCTTGCACCCTCCTCCTGCCGACAGTGTGTCCTGTTAGGTACCCACTGTCAGAGTGGCCCTTCAGAGACTTCCAGCATCCATCTTTGATGTCAGAACCATAAGCATCACCTTAGTGGGCTAAGCTGGATCTCTAACAGCCTTCCAGACTGTGTGCTGTGCCGCTAAGATCAGAAGCAGCTGTCAGAGTGAGATGGAAGGAGAAGCTGTATAGCTGGAACTCCATGGCGGGTTACAAAGGGCGCAGAGCACCAGACTGTGCGGGAGGGCTGCAGGTCCTTCTGTCCTTCCCCCAGCACAGCGGTGGCTAGTGAGGTGACACAGCAAACACCTGTGACAGATAACAGCAAGCCTGGGGCTCGCAGCAGATGTGTGCAAGTCCTTCCTCTGAGGGTGCTGGCCTTAGAGCTTCCGTGTGAAAAGTGCTGGGACAGGAGCCCTAGGTGTAGCATTGCTGCTGCCACATCCCTGCCTGCTTGTGTTAACCAGCTTTGGATGTTTTGAGTTAGCTGCACATGTTTAGTGATGCTTTCTGCGTTAGGTTTTATGCCAAGAGCTGGGGAGGGATGCTGTGGGCTCTGTCTGAACCTGGGGACCTGGTAGCTCCAGGTTACCCAGGCTCTGAGGGCAAGGAAGGACGGCAGCAAAGCTTGCTTTGTTAGGAAAAGCAGCGTGCAAAGCTTGTGACAGTTGCTGTCAGCACCTGCTAGACAAGGTAAAAATACTAGAAAGAAAAAAGGAGGGGGTGTTTACGTATGGGAGCATACGAAGACAAATAGAGTTTTTTTAAAAGCACAAAGCCTATATAGTGAGTGTGCCATCAGACACACTGCCTCTCGTCAGCTAATATCATCTGCAAATAAAGCAAGTCAGGTTGTTGCTATTGCAGCTGCTTTCCCTCATGAAGCAGGGTGAGCCAGACTCGTCCGACTCTGAGAAATGTGTTGGCAAGCAGCCTGAAGTCCGAGGTGCACAGGGTAATTTACTTAAAAAAAAACAAAAAACAAAAAAAAACCACACACACACAACAAAACCACACATAAAAACAAACCAGCAACAATGTAAGGCTTATCGTCCAGGATGAGCACGTACAACCATAATGTTTGCTTGCAGCTGTGTTTTCTATGACACACTCTCAGAAGTTGCTCTTTGGCAGCATTCACCAGCAAACACAGCCTAGAGGTGATCGGCTTCTTCCCTGACCTGCAGTTAACAGCGGTAATTATGCTTAAAGAACTTTTGGTGTGGGAGGGGTTCGGAGGCTTGGAGCTGTCGGCTGGGTGATTTGGGATCCAGGCCTTGGGAGTTTTCATCTTGACCTTGGGCAAAACACATGAGCTGTTCCGTGCTTCTGCTTTTCAAATCCAATCTGTTACAATTCATTTCAGAGCAACTGATTGGTATCAGTCTTGGTTTCCTCATCTGAAGCAACCCCAAAATCCCCAAATGTTTGTGCATGAAGTTCAAATATGAAATGTCCCTCTCTCCTCCCTGCTCTTTACCTCTGATAGCTGGGAAAGAAAAAAGAATCATTCGTAGCCATCTGCTGGAGGCATCAGTCACGCTGAGAGCAGTCTGCTGGTTGT